CAGCCCGGCACAGCCCAGCATGGCACTGCACAGCCCAGCACAGTCTGGTGCAGCTTGGTGTGATGCTGCACAGCCGGGCATGGGACTGCACAGCCTGACATGGGGCTGCACAGCCTGCCTGGAACAGCCTGGCCTGGCACCGTCCCCCTTGCACGGCCCAGCCCGGTGCCGCACGGCCGGGCTCACACCACACAGCGCAGCYGCTCTGGACAGCACAGGCTGCCCCRGTCTGGAGCAACCGTCCGGGTGCGCACAGCCCAGGGCAGCTGCCTTCAGCACCCTGCCCAGCGCAGAGCCGCTCCGGAGCCACTCCGGATGCCCCCGCCGGCGCCCGGCTCGGCTGGGCCCTTCGCCACGGCTGCCGCCCCCTGCCAGCTGCCGGCCCTGCCTTATTTAGTGCCAGGGCTGCTGCCTCCTTGCCGCTTTCTTGGGCATGTCTATTAATATCGAGGAACTGGCCCAGCTGCTCCCATCGCTCCGGCCGCGGCCGCCTCTGCTCCCCAGGCGGCCTGCGCTGCCTTGGGGACCGGGTGCTGCCGGGCTGGGACGGGGACGGTGCCCCCTGCGTTGGGATGGGGACATTGCCCTGGYCTCGAGGAGGACAGCGAGGTCCCGGGCTGGGACAGGCCTCTGGCGCCAGGGTGCCCCGAGCAGAGCCCGACGCTCTGCTCTCCTTGGGGTGCCGGGGACTCTGGCTCATCTCCCTGTGGCACAAACGGCCGGGCTGAGCCCGGCGGCTGCAGCCAGTGCCCTGTGTCATGGGCCGGACCCACGTCCCCAGGGCCGGGGGCTCCGCACCCCCCGGGGGGCTGCTGCCCAGCCCGGCTGCAAGGGCTGGGAGGCACCTTTGGAGCCGGCAATGACCGAGGCTCTGCGATAGTGCCCGGCGCTCCGCAGCGATGCTGGCTGCTCCAGGGCGACGCCGGCAGCTCCAGGGCTGCTCTGGAGTGGTGCCTGGAGCTGCTGGGCGATGCTGGGAGCTCTGGGGCTGCTCCAGGGCAGCACCGGCCGCGCTGGGGCTGCTCTGGGCCAGCGCCAGCTGCTCCAGGCTGCTCCAGGCCGCTCCAGGCGCCACCGCCTGCTCGGGGCTATTTTTAACCCCCTCCTGGCCGGGTGGTGGGCGCCGCGCAGGGGGCAGAGCCTCGCGCCCGTCCAGCCTCTGGTGTCCCTCCCCGCCGGGCTTGAATTTCCGTGGTGGCCGGGGACCCGCCGCTAATCCCCCGCCGCTGGCCAATAGCGCCTTGGCTAAATTAGGTAAAATGCGCCCGGTGCTGACGCGCGGGGCCGGCCCGGCGCCGGGGCGCTGATAGGCTGYGGGCGGTGGGCGCAGCGCGGGGACACTACAAATTGGGGCGCCAGGRCCAGCGCGCAGCGTCGGGGGCTTCGCGGTGCCGGTGGCGGTGACTCCCTCGGGGAGGCAGATGGCATCAATGGTGAGCGCAGCGCGGGGCGGCGAGCGCCGGGGCGGCGCGCAGGGAGCGGGCGCTGCGGGCGGGTGCTGCCACGGCTGTATCCCGGGATACCGGAGCGCCGGGTGCTGCCAGCGCCGCGGCCGGGGCTGGTGGTGCTGTGGGGCTGCGGGGCCGGGCAGGGGCAGCGCGCGGAGCGGGGATGGGTCATGCAGCCACCCGGGGTCCCCGCTCGCCGTGGGGACCGCAGGGACGTGGCGGTGCCGGCCGGGGCTGTAAACTGAGCGCGGGGTCATGCGACAGGCGGCTCCGTGGCCGCCACTCCAGGAGAAACTCGATCCAGGGCCGACAGGTGCCCGCGGCCCCACGGCTCCCTATAAGGGGCGCCAAGGAGATCCCAAAATAGCYGGGCCCGCCTGGGATGCCGGGGCTGTGCGGTGGGGACCGCGGCCCCCGGGCAGGATGGGGCCCCGCACGGATGCCCGGGGCTCGCGCGCCCCACGGGCGGCATCACCTGCAGGCTGGGGCTCCTTGGGGACATGGGGGGCTGGCACCCGCCTGCGCCCGCGGCCGGCGCTGACCGAGCCCTTCGCCCGCAGACGGACCAGCAGGCCGAGGCGCGTGCCTTCCTCAGCGAGGAGATGATCGCAGGTGCGCCCGGGGGCCGGGGGCGGCGGGGCCGKCTCCCCGCGCGCCGCCCCACGCCCCCTTCCCGCAGAGTTCAAGGCCGCCTTCGACATGTTTGACGCGGACGGCGGCGGGGACATCAGCACCAAGGAGCTGGGCACGGTGATGCGCATGCTGGGCCAGAACCCCACCAAGGAGGAGCTGGATGCCATCATCGAGGAGGTGGATGAGGACGGTGAGCGGCGCCGGGCCGGGGGCGGTGGGCGCCGCGCTGTGCCGTGCCGCTCACACCACCCTGGCGCCCGCAGGCAGCGGCACCATCGACTTCGAGGAGTTCCTGGTGATGATGGTGCGCCAGATGAAGGAGGACGCCAAGGGCAAGTCCGAGGAGGAGCTGGCCAACTGCTTCCGCGTGTTCGACAGGTGAGTGGCGCCCGTGCGGGGGCAGCGCCGCCCCCCGGCCCCACGCACGGCACCGCGTCCCGTCCTGCAGGAATGCGGATGGCTTCATCGACATGGAGGAGCTGGGTGAGATCCTGCGGGCCACGGGCGAGCACGTCACCGAGGAGGAGATCGAGGACCTCATGAAGGACTCGGACAAGAACAATGACGGACGCATCGACTTTGATGGTGAGCGCGGCTCCAGGCCCGGACGGCAGCGCTGAGCCCAGCCTGTGGTGCTGAGCCCGGCCCATGGCGCTGAGCCCAGCCTGTGGTGCTGAGCCCGGCCCGTGGCGCTGAGCCCAGCCTGTAGTGCTAACCCGTGTGTGGCTCCTCTCCCTCAGAGTTCCTCAAGATGATGGAGGGGGTGCAGTAAGGACCAGACATTCCCGGGGCGCCGCTGCCGCGGCCCCGCTCCGCGCCGGCCGCGGGAGGCAGCACGTCCCAGCACCGCGGTGCCGGATCCGCCGGGCCCGCGGCACCGGGACAGCCCTGCCCGCCGGGCACTGCCCGTCCCGTGCCCGGCGGCCTCGGGCTCCCCGCGCCTTAGACTCAGACTCATTAAAAGGGGAAACGGCTGGAGCTGCTGCTGGGCTCTCCCGCGGGCACCCGGGCCCTGCAGGCGGCTGGGGTGGAGGGGCCCGGGAYGGGCCTGGGGGCTGGGATGGACACGGGCCAGAGGAGGGCGCAGGGGCCGGTGCCGCCCTGCCGGGTCGGTGCCGGGGGCCGTTGGGTGTCCCGGGCTCCTGGGCTGCTGCCAGCTGAGGGCTCGCGTTGCCCACGGCTTAGGGCACCGGCACAGCAGGGGCCGGGGCGCTGGGGGGGGCTGGGGTGCCGGGGGGGCCCATGCTGGACATCCCGTCCCGCTCCCCGGGGCCTCTGTGCGCAGCGGGAGCAGCAGCGGAGGCGGCAGCCGGCGGGGGCTGGCGCGGCTGCCCCGAGYGGACGGCGTGGACGGCGGCGCCGCAGCAGCGTGCGCTGGGCAGCAGCGTGCACCAGCTCCGTGCTGGCAGGAACGGGATGTGGGGAGGGACGTGGTGGATGCGGCACCCGGGGTGCGTGGGAGCCCCGAACATCCTGCACCCGGGCACAGCACCCACGGCTCACTCGTCCTGCACCGCGCACCCTGCACCGCGTGTCCCCAGGGCCTGGCAGCCCTGCCCTGTCCTGCACCGTGTGTGTCCTCAGACCGCGACACCCCCTGCCCGCGCCCTGCCCCTCACGTGTCCCCAGGCCCTGGTCCCACACCCCGCTCATCTCTTGCCCCGCGCGCGTCGCTCCCTCACGCGCCCAGCACCAGCGGTGCCCGCGGTCACGCACCCTGCGCCGGGGAGCCGCAGTGGGGCCGGCCGCCCCGCTCAGCCCCGTGGTCGGCGCTGCCCCCGGGGGCTCCGCGGCGCTGCGGGAGCTCCGGGCGCTGCAGCCGCCCTGGGTGCTGCTGTCTGCGCCCTGGAGCTGCAGCCCAGCCCAGCCACCGGGTGCACGTGCTGGCGGTGGCTCCACGCTGAGCACGGGGCTGGCTGGGGGACCCCACGCATGAGACGGGCTGCTGGCGGGGCCCCAGCTCTCCCACAGCCCGGGGACGAGGAGGACGGGGAGCTGGGGGGGCCGCACGGGCCGGGGCAGAGAGTGGAGCCAACGTCCCCCCGCGGAGCGCGGAGGCCCGGACGGACCTTGTGGGTGGCCAGGCTCCGTGCGGGCCGTGTGGCCACCGTCACCCCCGCACTGCCCATCGTCCGTCCCGGTCGTTGTCCCTTGGTCCCAGCTTCCGCAGAGGGAGGCGGGAGCAGCATTCCAGGGCTGGAGCATCCCGCCGCATCCGGCCGCATCCCATCCCCTCCCCCTGGCGTGGGAAGGCGCTGCCGGGCCATTCCCGTGGCCGGCGCCAGCCCCCCGCGGCTCCCGGGCGCAGTTATAAATGTGCACTATTTATTTATACAATAACCGGCTCGGACTGCAGCATTAATTTAAAACCATCCTGTGGCAGGGGGCGTGCGGGGCGCGGGTCAGGTCTCCTGGGCCTGCTTGGCGTACGTCTCCCGCAGGTGCTTCCTGAAGGCTGCGGAGAGAGGCGGCGGGGGTGGCGGCGCGGGGGCCCGGGCGCCCCCCGGCCCTGCACTCACCTGCCGGGTTCTTCCAGAGCTCGGCCGCGTGCGTGTTCAGGGGGCTCTCCACGTTGGGCTCTGCGGAGGGGGCGCGTGAGCGCGGCCGCGGCACCGGAGCCTGCGCCGCCGCCGTCCCCGTGCCCGCTCACCTGCCAGCAGGCTCTGGATGGAGAGCAGGATGGTGCGCACGTCGTAGAGCGCCGACCACTTGTCCTTGAGGATGTCGAGGCAGATGTTGCCCTGCGCGTCCACGTTGGGGTGGTAGCAGGGCGTGAGGAAGCGCACGGTGGGCGCCGCGTACGGGTACCCGCTGGGGAACTCCAGGGACAGCTTGTAGCGCAGCTCCTCGTAGGCCTGCGGGCGGACGCGCCTTAGGGACGCGGGGCGGGGGGC